AGTGATCCAAAGAAGTCAAATATAACCACAATAAATTAACAAGCGTAGCTACTCAAAGGTATCCTAAAGTTAGTGAAGAAAAGCTGACAGCTGTCACAGCAGTGACAATGGTTGGGAAGTAGGTGAAAAGCTCGTTATATTGTTGAAAAAATTACACTTTTAACAGAGAGGAAGTCCAGGTATTGGACCACCTTATGGAAAATCAATCCAGCTCCTCAGATTCTGCTGTTGTATGCTTTCTTGTTGGCCTGGTTGAAACGTTTCTTCTGTCCTCTGGGCTCCCACAATTATTTTGCCTCAGATAATCAGAACTACTCAGCATGCTCCCGACTTTACACTGCATCTCCAACATGTGCTCTTGCACTAAAAGACTGAAAGCAAAGATCCTGATTCAGGTCTTCTTGCCACTAAAAAAACCTCCACACTCCCTGGGGAGATCATGTAATACAAGACCCTATTTTTGGATTAATAATGAACAGTGTTACTGGATCTGGGCTTTAGTTGCAGGCTCACCGGGCAAAGGAAGGCACTGACATTGCTATGTAGTTACAGATCATTTCTTCTTCTCCCTGTCTGTGGTACTGAGACCTAGATTCCTCAGGTGCAGAGAGCAGTGCTTTACAGAAACCATACTGGCAACTGAAACAGAAAATATCTGGACTTGTCAAACCTGGCTAAAAGAGACAACAGCCACAAAGACACATGCTTCTGGAGCAGAATGGCAGCAAATTCTCTTGTTTGCACCTAGAGCCCCTGGCTTATCAACGTGCCCCTTCTCTGCTCAGCCTGTGCCTGGGAGGCTGCCTACTCAGTGCTGTAGATCTGTAATCCAATTACCACCTGTCAATCAGGAAATACATGACAGTCCAGCTGTCTTAGACTTATCTGTCCTCATTTGCATACCTGCGTGCTCTAGCTCCAGCTCTGGTTTCAGGAGATACCCACTGCAACCTAGTCTTGCCACTGTGAACATGAGCATTGGCCCCTGCAAAGGATAAAATCTTTAGCTGGTGGCTTTTCCAACTGCAACCGAGTATAATGTCACTACCAAGGGGCTAACGAGCTATACAACAAACAAGGTGATAAGCAGGTCTGGGAGATGGCAGGAACAAAGCCAACTGTCTCCAGGCCATTACAGGACAAATAGTCAGACAAGCCCAAAAGCAAGCTGCTGGTTTGCATGCCTGCAGGCTGAATAACTGACCCTGTAAAGATGCCATCTCCTACAACAGCATACTACAAAGAAGAATGTTGGAAAATTTTGTGTATACAAAGATATAATGTTAGGAGAAAACCTGAAATAAGCCTCTGCCATCCAGATGAGAGAAGAGATAAAAGTATAAAGTGATCCAAATACAAGGCTTTTCCTCTGTCTTCTTTATCTGCATTCTTTATCTGCAAACAAGCTTTTAAACTTCTTTGCCATGGACTGTAGAGATCTTTCTACGGGGGAAGCAGGACACTGCTGCAGCTTTCAGCTGGGTAGGCAGCATGATCATCCTATAGCTATCCTTCTGTGCTCAAACAGCAGAATGAACAGGTTCAGGTGAGTTTCTGCCCTAAAAGCTGTGTTTTCCAGTTTCCATGAGCAAGAGATGATAGTCTAAAATGTGTAAGATTAGGAAATGTGGGGAGAGGGGAAAGCAGTCGCACAAAATTGCCTCATTCTTTTAAAAGAGTAAGGTTTTAAGGTGGCAGGATGTTGCTTTAGTATTTCTGCTAATCACTGGCTATGTTGTACTTCCTCCTGTAAAAAGTCACCTGGAATTTGACCTAGTAAAACGAGTAGCCAGCTTTGATGGAGACCTTTGGGGTTAGTGACCCATGCTTGTTAAGATTCTTACACAGAAAATACACATTAATTTCTCCAGATTCAAGACATATTTCAGGAACTTAATTCTGCAGGCTCCCACTGCTTTCCTTCTGCTCTGCTTTGACCTGCCTTACTGGCCTCTCCTCCCTTCAGCTGCGTGATAAAGGATTCTATGATTCTATGATTCTACATTCCTTTACTTGTACTGCATCGTTAGTGCATTTAAAGGTCCAAGTGAGATACCTCTAATCCTCCATTCCACTTCACCTTGTGATTAGTGGTTGTAGTGCAACTCATTTTCTTTTGATATCTGATGAAAATATTGTACCTTCAGCAACACAGGAGGACCATGTTTCCTTTCCAGCACTGCAATGAGGAACTCCTGAAACACTGTACTGCTTAGACAGTTAAACATCTCTGTAGTAACATGAATTCTTTCTAGAAAGGGTGATGCTATTTATTCAGGCAATATCTAACCTTGTCTTTTTTAAGTGGAAGAGAGTGCACAGATACTCCTGGCAATACTGACTTTAGATACCAGGTTTCTAGTCTTGAAAAATGCCTTGAAACTCTTCCCGACTTGCCCTTCTTCATGACTGTTTGCAATCTCAGATGGGATTTGCTGTTTGTGGCTGACAGCCTGAAGAAATAATATGTTTTACATCACCTCAAGGACGTTGCTTCTTTATTTTGGACTTTGTTTTGAAAATACATTTCAAAAGCACAGTACAAGGGCATATGTATCCTGAAAGCAGCAGGAAAATTTTAAAAAGTATATTAAAATTATTTCTGTATCCTGCTGCCCTCTTTTTGAAGTGAGTCTCCACCACTGAAAAGAAAGAGGTAAGCAGATCTGGAAAAAAATAAAGTAAAATGTTTGAATCAAATAATAAATGCTTTAAGTAACTAACTAAAAAACTGATCCGTGTACCTCAGCAAATGTTGTGGTCCAAACATTTCCTAAACCTAAGCTTTAAGTAAAACTTTAAGTTCCTAGAGAGAACTTTGAATGGGCGCAGGTCAGGCTTTGTGTGAGAAAAGGTTAAATCAGTACATTTTCTATTACAACTGCTCTTACAGACTAAGACTTTGGAGATGAATGCATGAATGAAATACATGAAACTATGTTGTAGTTCCTGTAATGGCAGGCAATCCTCTTCTATAAAATATACCTTGCCTTATTCCCACACTGCAAACTGGTAACTACTCAGAAGCTTAGAGCTGGCCCATGAAGCAGAGAAATGCCTGCCCAGAAAAGGCCAGTAATGCCACTGACCTCATGGGATCACTGAGGTTACTATCCATGAGTCACTGGTGTTCCTGTTCAGGACTAAGACCGGTGTTTGCAGCACCTGATAGGCTTCAATACTCTGCACCCGACTTTGTAACTCAACAGCCAAGCTCTACAGCACAGCTTTAGGGTAATTTCATGTTATTGCAATTTGCAGAAACCTCCCAAGATCTGTCTTAGGAACTCCATGTGTGGTCACAATAATGATGGAGAAGAATAGGACGTAATCTGATGCGATTTGATTTGATGGATTAGCTGATCCCCATGCAAGAGTAGAGGACTAACCTCATTTTCAAGCCAATATTACAACTCACACAATGACTGTTAACAGAGATACGCCTGGAGTTTGGGAAATCCAGCCAAAAGCTCTCATTTGCTTATTCAGAAGGCTCTGAATGAAAGAAATACATGATTCCTCGCCTTCTATGGCTCTAAATTTATTATGTTATTGATGTAGCATTTATATTTTTTTTTCTGGAAGGGGCAGGGCAGATTATTAGTAGCAATTTGCTTTCAGCCATAAATCATTTTTAGAGTGCCTCAGGCCAACCACAGAAAGTATTGTCCTTTGTTTAAAATATTTTTGGTAGAAAGAATCAGATAAAGTTGGAAGGAAGTAAATCAGAGGTTGCACTCACAGTCAAAAATGTATGGTCATTAGTTTGAATGCAAAGATTTGCTAAGATCTTCACAGGTAGAGCTTCACCCTTGCTGTCTGGAGAGATATATTTAACCTTTATCTACATAACTTATGAAAGCAAAATATATGTTCACTTCTTGAGATCTTAGAATTACTTTTTCCAGTGGCACAATGTTGTATCAGTTCAGTTACCCAAGAAAAATTAACAGTGGATGGTTTCAAAGCTATATACCAGCACTTAGGTCATAAGTATAACACTTTGGATAATACAATCACATCTTCACTGGAGAAAGTGCCAAACAGACAAGGGAAATTTGCTGTTGCCACCCTGTCTCCCAGAGTGACTGTCAGGTTAAGAGGACTCCTGCTCTTGTGTCACGTGAAGCCCTGTTATTCTTCCCACAAACCATTCTGAACAGGTATTTTCATGATCATTACTTACTGGCAAATAAAAACCAAATAGTCTTATAAAATGACTGGACTAAAATTCCAACTGAAGCTCTCTTCATTCCCCATTGGGAGTGGGGAGAGTCTGGGTGGTGGCAGTCCTAGTCTACATTTTGCCTTTACTTACCAAAACGTATGAGGAAGTCTGAGCAATGTGCAGATGGGTTGTCTATGACATAATTCATCTCCTCCAACAGTTCCCCAGCAGAAACAACATTGCTAATCAAGTGTCTGGCTACTTTTAAAGTTAACTCCACTGTTTTGATGCAGGAGGTAGGATTTTTCAAAATATTTCAGTTCTGCTGCACTTGATTTAGCATTTGTAGGGAATTTTGCCACTGACACCTTTGTTAGCACTGTTATGGCCTGTGAAATACTTGCAAAATCTTACCTAGAAGATCAGTCATTTTGTTTTTGTGGTGTGTGGTGGTTTTGTTTGAGTGGATCTCAAGATGGCACAAATCATCCTATTGATCAAAACAACAGCCAAAGGGACTCAGAACTGAAATCAAAGCCTTAATCTGTGTGTTGAAGCCACTTTTCTACTCTGCAGTGGGTAACACCAAAATCTTTCACCTTCCCCCTCACCCTCAATCTTTGAAATCCGCCCCCCCCCCACTTCTGTGGATGTTTAAAGATACTCTCTCACTGAACCTTCCTACTGAAGTACTGTCAGGTAGTAACTAACTGTAGTGCAACTGCACTTTTGCAGTTTTTTTCTGATTTTATTAGAAACCGTAAGTTATGCAGCAGTGAATTCTGACTGGGAAGAAGAAAAGGCTGAGTTAGTAACAGCAGACTTGCTTTACCTTTGGGTCATGTATACCAGAAAGCTCTTCATAGATCTTCTCTCCGACCATGACAGCAGCTAGGTTGGCTGTGTATGTGGACAAACAAAACAGACAGAAAATTGCCCACAGGTTCATTAAAAACCTTCCAGTCCAGCACTTTGGGGGTTTGATGGCAGCTGTTCTTCCAAACAAGATCGCATAGCAGACATTCAGGGCAGAGGAGAAAGAGAAGACTTTGTTCCTATTCCTTCCCTTGGGGGTCATCCCAAAAGGACTTTTCCACTCATATAAGGTGAGGAATATAGCTGTGATGTGTAGAGCAACAAATATCCCCAGCCACATAGTCCAATGAAGTGGCCACATAAAGGCTCCAATGGGAGCTGCTGTGTCTTTGGTCCTCACCAAAATGCCCAAGCTCGTTGAAAAGAATGGGCTGGTGAAATCAATCACCTGGCTGCGGGCGGTGTTAATGCTAAATGACGTCACTGCCATGTGAGCTGTGCCAGCAAGAAGGTCTCCCACCAGCCCTGTCCAGTGGCCATTCTTCCAGGCTCCGTATTTTCCATCACCAACAATGTACAAGTCAAAATCAAAATTCATATCCTCAGCTAACTTCTCCAGCAGGTCAATGCAGTAGCCGTAGCAGCACTTCTTCAGCTCAATGGGAACGGTGTCATTGCCTCCTTGAAGGGTTTCAAACAGGTTATCCAGCACGGCTGAGTCATTGGTCAAAGGATCCAGGCAAAGCTGCCCTGCTGGGCAAAGACCTTCATCATCTACATCTCTTGTAAAGACAAATGGATGCTCAATGAGAGTTACTACCCTGAGGTGCAGCCGGGTGGGGTGCTGCATGTGATTTTTATGTCTCTGAGCCTGTTCTGGCCATATCCCATAGTCCATGATTATCTTTCCTTCTTGCCAGCTCCCTAGACGAGTCCACATTGGGTTTCCAACAGGATCATGCTGCAGATTCCAGATGAAGAAGTTGTTTTCTGAGCTGACAATGGAGGAGCCTTTCACCTTAATGTGGCCACTAAGTCCATCAAAAGTCGTGTTGGCTAAAAACCTGTTGGAGGGAGAAAGCAGAGGAATTGGAAGCAGTCAGTTAAAGTCATCATGTTAAAGCACAGTCAGACACCTTGAATTTATGTTTAAGAGAATAGATTTGGGATGTTGTTAAACATTTGGATCACTAATAGCTTTCATATGGCATGATAAACAAACTGCCAAATTTATGACTAAGGCACTTGGGAATGCTCTTCTAAGTATCTAATGTAACTGAAAACTCTTCAAGGAAGATATTCTTTTTACTTACTAGAAAAAAATGAGTGAGAGAACACCAATTTTTTCAGCTACATTTGCCTCATAAATTAGTGAAACACAGGTTACTTCTAAGCCAAACTCACCAGATCTGTAGTCTGTTTTCTACACAAAAATTTGTAAGAAAATGGAAGAGTGGAAATTATGTATGAAACGTCCTTCCATGAAAAATCGTATTGCCTCGGTAAGATCTAACTCACTTAAGAGAGGCTACTGAAGTGCTGTCAAGTTTTCAAGCATTGTGAAGTGAACCAATCTCGATTAAAAATGCAAATTTGGCATTGCTTAGCCACTTCAGAATGAAGAAGGGGACTCGGTGAAAGATGTTTGCTCTAGGACCATCAGTTTTAATCATTACAAAAAAAAAGAAAGTTTCTTAAAATATCTGCAAAAGTAATGTTCTTAAGAGTGTAATTTTGACACTGTAGCAGGTCTCATGAAGTGTGCCAGTTTTGCACTGCATATTTTGCACTGAGATTTCTGGGCTTTTATTCTTCCAGATAGTCACAATAAAGTTAAGTATTTCCTTTGTACTGGATGCCAATGTCTGCTAGTAGTGGTCCTCCCTGTATGTTGAATTCAGCTTCTGGTAACTCACTATCAAAGAGCCTAAAATGTCATGGGTAAAGGAGCAGGGAACTGCACAGAAAGTAAATATTAAAAGCAGAACATCTTTTTTACTGCAAACACCCTGATCAGCTGAACTGCACTGTTAATCAGAAAGCTGCTGTGCATTTTGCAGGGGCTGCAGAAGGACCCTACTAAGACTGCATAAGTGTATGGTGATTCCACTAAAAACAACTGAGTTGGTGTAAGGTAAGTCAGGGTCACATTTGTCAGTAAGAGCTATCCAGAAGAAAAATTATTTAGCTGCCATAGTAGAATGTAACACCTCACATTAGTTCTGGGAATTAGATGAAAACAAGTATTGAAAGAAGCATAAAGGCTATAGCTGTCATTCTAGCCTCAACATGCAAGACATAAACTTCAAGTAGTGTTAATTGTTTATCAATAGTTAGGGTGGCTAAAAAATAACCTTAAATTGATTTGAAAAGGATAAATCCACAGCAGGTGTGTGTGCATATGTACTTGTGTTCATTTTCTACCTTTTGTTTTGATGACTTCCAATGCTTTTTGATGGAGTTTCAGTAGTTAAAACTTTTAGCTGTGTATATCATATCACACAAAGATCATGATTTAGCTCAAGATCATATCACTTTTTGTCCTCAGCAAAGGGTAAATTTACAAAACTAAACAGTCTAGTTTTGAGAGTGGTTGTGTGTGTGACAGCATTCTCTGAGGCAGCTTCAAAATTCTTCTTACACAGTCTATTTTGAGCAGGTTGAGTTTGGAGAAAGATGATAAAGCTAATACTGCCAAAAGCAATTGATCTGTACATGTGTTAACTTGGGCTTGAAAACTATACCTAGAAACACACATAGGTGTTTATAAGTGGGTCAGACACATAAATGTAGTTCTCATATCTAAAATCCTTTAGCACTTAGTCTAGTGTTAGCTAAACAATACAGTAAATTCATTAAGCAGTGGTGTCTGCCATTGTTTGACTAGCCCTTTCCTCCTATCCTGTGTTTCCTATTTGATGGTAAACTTGTATATTTGTGTATGTAAATACTATCAAGACAAAGTTTATATAGGGGAATGGAATCTTAATCACTAAAGAAAGGCTTATGTGCCCATAAACATATCTGGTTTTCATCTCTTGTCATTAGTCTTTGTAAAAAATTGCACAACTTCTTCCCTACAAGCCTGGCTGGGCTTATATGCTGAAGCCATCACTAGGACAGCAACAGTAAAACTACTGCATGTGTAGATTGGTCTGTGTGTAAAATTTTGAAAGAATTGTTTAACGGTGTTAACAGTTCACAAAATGCTAAAATACAGGGAGACAAGTCCTCAGATGGAACAAGCTAGCAAAGTTCTTATGAATTTGGTCCCATGTTGGTACCATAGCATGATAGCAGAAGGCTGCAGAGGAAGTGCTTTGGGAGTAGATGAAGCTGTGGAGTAATCCATTAAACTTATTTTCTGCAGGTAGGATGAGAACAGTGGAATTTATGCACTGTGTTCTCTGACTTCCACTGTAGAAATAAGTGTGCCCATGAGGGTGAATCAAGCTCTCTGCATCTGTCCTGTGGTTGAATTGTGTTAGGAGGTGTTACCTGAGAGATTTAGTAGCATTGAAATGAACGACTTTGCTACCTTATTAAGTTAGTGGCTTACTTCTGCAACTGATTTGCATGTTCTGTATTTTTGGTAGTGACAGGACATTAATCAAAATAAATGAGGGGAATCATGTGGGAGATGCATTTTAACAACACTTCATTTTATACACGAGTGGCTATGGCTGCTAATCATTTACATATGCTGTATGCAGCACCAGTGGAACTCATGCCAGGGACTTCACCTAAAAACTCCCTTACTCAGTAACTTTAGGAAATAGGAAAGAGGACTGGACTACACTATTTAAGCCATCAATCTCTAGTGTGAATCTTTGAGAACTGCAAATGCTGAGCACTGCACAGGCACATTGGCCATATCTGAGCAGTATCTTTTCAGCAGGGCTACTGACAGGTTTACATGGAAAAGACGATGTGTAGAAATTTCAGAATGTGAAGAGCCAGATCTGACAACTGAATGATTTTCCTTGATGCTGTGTCAATATGTGTGAGCTGAAGATCACACCAACAGGCTGCAACAGCTGTATCAAAGCTTTATGAGCATCACTTCAGTTTGATCTAGGAGTCCAAAGTGTGTCTTTGCTCATTTCAGCTTTGTTTCTCATGTGTTCTAAGAACTGCTCATTAAAGCTTCAGCAGTACTGCCATACTCCAGCAGCAATATCTTTGTACTACCTTTAAGAATCATTTAATTAAATGATTTTATTTTATTTCAAGCTTGACAGCTTGATCATCCCACATCTTTCTTGGAAAGTTTTACTGGAAGCAAGAACTAGAATGGGCAAGCAAACATCAGGCTCCTAAAACTACCCAAAAAGCAGAGTTAAAGCTGTAAGACTAGTTAAAGCTGCATAACTAATTAAAGAAGTATGACAAGATGAGGTTTTGAAATCTTAATGCTTTTTTAAGAATGGTCCCATGAGCATGAAGGAATAGATCAGGGAATCAAGCTCATCATTAGAGGAATGAAGGATGGAGACTTTCAACAGTATAATCTTCAGGGATTTGTACATCTATATCCACATCCATATAGGTAAAAGCATACTTTGCCATGAACCAGATCTTGGTCTTGTTCAACAATCATTATTCTGCTCCTGGGTGGCATTTAAATGTCTGCACAGCCAATGTACGAGTGCAGTGCTGGCAGTGAAAGCTCAGGTGTCAGCTGTGCCAGCTTGTGGGGCTGCTCTTTAACAACACCCTGCAGTGCAGGGAGGCAAAGGTCTGTGTCACTGCGCCTTCTCCAGCTCCCCCCATGGCAGCTCCAAGGCTACGTATCACAAAGGTTGGGTTCATTCACACATAAGAATGCCCATGTTAGTAAACTCTCAATTAAGCACCAGATAAAAGTTTCATTTTTGGAGGGACACCACTTGCCTAAAAGCACTTCTGCAATGGACAGCGTTGGTCACAGTCAAACCCCTCATCAGTGCTTGACGCCCCAGAAATTGCTGGTACCACTCAAGAGTTAATAGTCACGTGGCTAACTCAAATATATCAGCTTGGCCGTTAGGTATCTGTCTCACATACATCCTGTACAAACAGCTGCAGTGATTCAGGACAAGGGTTCACCTAACCTGTTATTTTGTCTTTAATAGGGTCCACAAGCCGATGCCTATGGAAAAAAAAGACTACACATACGATCCTTTTTTTTTGTTTTCCATAATACCTTTATAGAGAGAAAGGGACAATAAATTTCATTGATGTGAAATTGCATATTGTCTCTCAAAGTATAAAAAATGTTACAGCAGTCACTGTTCATGAGAGAGCTCATAGTTTTCTGTCAAAAGCCATGATGAAGAAGTATTTTGCAGGAATACTTTTTAAGAGCTACAATTTTGCTTTCCTTTTTCTTTGTCCTTTCCTTAGCCCTCAGAAAGTCTGTTCATAGAAGGACTGTCATTAAATACTTGTCACTTTAAGAAGCCTCTGCATGAGTTTTACTTTTCAGGGACTTAGGTATGATCTAACTAAAACAATCAGCATCACGAGACAAAAATAAAACCACAGGTCAGTGGGGATATTGCAAGGCAGTACAGTATTTATTCCCACGCCTTTTTTCGCTCTTTGGAAACAGGGAGGGGTTGACCCCTAAGTTTTGGATGAGTGCTGACTAAGGAACTGTTAGGATCTCAGATGGTTACCACATTATTGTAAAGATACATCTCAGGCATTCATTTCAAAAAATGTTGGAACCATACAAAAAGCTTCAATAACTTTTATCCTAACTCCATCCAACAAAATCAGTAGGCTGCAAAGCAGGTGTAATGGGAGGAAAATGTGCAACAATCACTGCATATAAGCTAGCTGATGAATTCTCATACTTAGCAAAGACTTTTTTGTTTGTTTTCAGAAAGAACCATGCATTTTTTCCTCTCATATGTTAAAATCCAGAATATTTCTAGATGTGAATCCCAAAGTGGTTTCGGGAGTAAGTTCAGTGATGTGCAGTGGTCTACAGGAATAGTTTTAGCAGAAGCTGGAAGAGAAGCCTCCCACGTGAGGTAACAAAGAGCACTTTGTAGTTTTGAGTGCTCTCACCAGCATCAGTGGCCTCTCAGGTGGTCAAGGAGCATCTTTTTTTGTTTCTTTTCTATGGAAGCATACTAGCAAGGGTTAAACATCTGCTTTTATACTCTGATTGCTTTGTAAGGACAAATATTCTGTGTTTTCTATTCTCTCAGGTATCTCAAAACCTCAGAGAATTTGACACTAGGCCCGGATTTTCACTCCTAGACACGTAAACATAAATACAAGACACTTTGAGTACAGGATCTATAGTCCAGCCTACGTTTACTGTGCAATCTCTACTTCTGTGGAACAGTGTCTTCTACAACTGGCGTCATCTCCCTGTGTGGCCAAATTTAAGTTTCAATGTTTGCGCAGAAGGAATGACTGAAACAAATGTCTGTGTGACAGAAGGTTAACAACACGACAGCTGAGAGAATAGTGGGGAGGTCAAGGAAAATTATTTTTCTTGTATACAACAAATATTAGCCACCAGGAAAAAAAAATAAATAAAAAAAAGGAAATACTTACTTAGACAAATACTGTCCTGAAGTGATGTTCCTTTCATCTGTGTCCATGCAATTCATTGTACTTGGAATAAGAGCTAGTTCAGGTTGAATCATGGTGGCTGCTGCTACAGCTCTTGCTACCAGCTCCATGGCATCCTGCACATAATGCTCAAAGACTGACTCTGTTGTCTTGCCATGAGCGATGAGGCCAAGCGGCAAACCTTCTGTCCTCAGCTCTTCCACGTTTTGTGAATCCCCAATAATCCAGTGAAGTTCTGGAGGCATCACACCAAATTGGGTGGTTATTTCAAAAATCCTTCGTGTTTTTTCCATGTCACATCCGAACATCACCATGGTAGATGTTGTGTCTTTGATGCTCTCCAGGTAAAACTGTAAGTAGTTCAGAAGGTCACTAGCTGAAGTGAGGTTTGCTGTGATGTTTATAATGGATCCTAGGTGGAACTTGGAGCTCTGTTGTGTGAGGAAGAGAAAATCTGTGATGTTCCACTCCTCCTGGCATAGCATCAGGCTGAAATTATACCAGTTGTTCATTGCAAGGATCGAGAAAGTGACATCAGCATCAGAACTCAGTGAGTTTTCTAAGCTCATCTGCAGATGAAGGGGATTCTGTAGTTAAAAATATGAAAAACACCTGATCAGAAACAGGCTGGACACAAAGTTAGTGATTTTGTTTTTTTTTTATTCACTCAGTTAAAAATAATCACCTGTCAACCAAATCAACCTGTCAAAGTGTGAGAAACAGGGAAATTTATACCTACCCAGCTTAACCAGACCTGTGATTCATGGGCTTCCCTGGCTTGAGTCTGAGCCAACTTCAGTAGTCACTAATGAGTCTGTTTCCATGAATCTGCACTTCTTTCAAACCATTTCTACTTTTGGATTTCTTGGAATACTCAGGCAAAGATCTCCCTGTTCACCTAACAGGGGTATAAGAAGGTAATGCCCCTACTTATTCAGGTTCAACCCTGGTGTTAATGTTAAAATTCAACGGATATTGACAAGTTCTTTGGCAACCAATATAATTCTGAGTCCTCAGGGTTTTTTTGTGTGTTTTTGTTTGTTTTTTTTTTTTTTTTTTCCGAGGTGTCACAGTCTACAATCAGTGCACATCATGAACTGCCAATATACCTCAGAAGACTTATTCTTTGGTAAAGGACATGTCATTGAATACTCAAGAGGTTAAGATGTGCAGACTCTGATTTCTGAGCTGAAAATATTTGATAAGTAAAAACCCCATACTAATTTTTTTCCATAGCATTGATGATATAACAGAATTTAGCCTGTGTGATGTACTCTAGGTGATCCTGCTCTGGCAGGGGGGTTGGACTAGATGATCTTTCGAGGTCCCTTCCAACCCCTATGATTCTATGATTCTTCTCAATACCATGGCCTTCAGCTTTATCTTTTCCACAAGGAAGGATGTGAGGCTAGTTCATCTGTTCTCTTAAGGTAAATATTCTTCCTTTCTTAACAGTTGATTCATAAATACTTCTCCCTCATTCTTATTCCTCCTCCTTCCCTCATCACAAATTTTTAGGCTACATACTTAGTAAGGAAAAAAAAAATTAAAGAATCTATGCAATGTCTAGCATTTTGCCATGCAATAATTCTCTGCTCTACCAACTACCAGGCTTTCAGGTAGCGCATTATGGACTGTTCCAACTTTTGGTTTCAAGTGAGAACTTGACCACCTTCAGTGTGGCTTTGCTAAAGAAGAAAATAAAATTTTACTTTACACTGGCATTTGCTTCCAGCCATGAGACTGTTCAAAAAAGGGAACTGATGACTGTTTCAGTGCCTCTTTTGGTTTATGAGATCTTTGTTGTGACTTTATGTCAACTTTTCTATATTCATGCTCCCACAAATTATATCTTACCCTACAGAGGAACCTCTTACTGAGCACTTAAGGTCTGGTCTTCATTCTCTTACATTTTCAGTAATTAGTATGCATTACTTATTATGTATTTTTTATATATATTATATGTATTATTAACTGTGAAGGATCAAACCTTTGCTGTTTTTAAAGTTAGTATAAAATGCTGTTATTTTAACAGTATTTTACTGTTCATTATGGGCTCCAGTTTGTATGAACCTTAGAATTGCCATTCTGATTTTGGAATAATATGATAATCACTCAATTTACACTAGTTCTACTAAAATAAAACCTTGGGCTCTGCAATAAGGTGTAGAGGGTGTAATGATAGAAAAAAAAGAATTAAACACCATTTATAAGCAGCAAGCTTTCATTGTGTTAACTTGCAGTTACATGAACTCTGTTTTCCACAAGAGATCATTTCAATTCAGAGCCTGATAAAGAAAATACTGTAATTGAAGATGCTCTTCTCTCTTTTTCTTATCTCTTGGTTTTGGTACCTGTAGTCTTTTTTTAACACAGGCACATGAATAAGCTAACTAAATAGATGGCTGTCCACAATCAATGCAGATCATGTACTGCCAATAAAACACAAGAGGATTGACTCTTTGATAAAGGACAAGCTACTGAATGCACAAGAGTTACTGGATGCTGTGCAGAACTGGTGAGGTCTATGTTGGAAAACAGTGCCTACTAATTAAAATACATGATTAGTTCAGAACAAAAAAAAGCATTGTGTATAGTATCTTGGTTTGGGAAGCTGACTTGAATAAATTAGTTTCTGGAAACTGAATCATTACAAACTTTTCTGAGGTTATGAGATGATTGAGTAAATTAACTCTACTTTGCCTATCGCTCTACATAGAAGGGCGTAGAAAGGATTTTCCTTGTGTCCTCTCTGTCCAAGATTAAGTAAAAGCACGAACACTCTACATGATGATCTGCCTTCAGTCACCAAAACTTGGCAAGCCTATTGTTTTAGCTGAGTGTTAAGAGAAGAAATGAGTTACTCAGACAAAGAACGATTTGAACCAGACCCCAGTCTGGTTTTGGTGCATGCCCATCATTGTTCTGGTAACACGCACTGGCACTTCATGTCCTAGCACATTTTGGGGATCGCTCCCAGTAAGCAGTATGGATAAGATTACATGAGAACTTGCTCTCCATCTTACCCATCAGATTTAGATCTTTAAAGACCTCTATGTCCTCCTAGTTTTACAGACACAACATGGCTTCTGCTCATCTATAGCACAGTTTTTCTAGCATTAAAACGCTTTGAGCTGATAAACTGTACACAAAGGGTAAAAATTACACTTTAGGGTCACTGGGCATCAGACTGGGAGCAGAGCAAACACAGAACTATGCACACATAGTCTAGAGAAAGTGAAACTCTGCCCCAGGGCCAGGAAGCTGGACATAATTTGACTCAGCAGTGCAGGTGGAGGCATTTTCCATCCGACTTGCTGTTCACAGGTGCAGGTCTGTAGCCCTGCAGATGCAGGCTTAATCCTCAGGAGCTCTAGCCTTGCTCCCTGCCTTACATGTAACATACTTGGATGTGTCAACGTGGTCCAATAGACCCCTCTTGTGCTGAGACACTGCTCCTCACTGAAAAGAGATGGTTTTAGGATGGACTAACTAAGATGGAGCTTGCCTTTAAAAACTGATTTTTGGTGTGAAATGATCTTTGCTTCAGCTGTCACTTCCAAAAGCCCACAGGCGCATCTACACGAACACTTAACCCCACTGTGATTTATTAGTTGCTGAATTCCCTGTTAATGTGCTTGAAAGGTAAACATTCAGCCCTGAAGAAGCAGCAAACAGTCTCTTTTTATGAAGTGTATTGGGACTGCAAACCTGCCTTCAGAATTCTTCTGACACAATGATACATATAAAATTCAGTCACTAGGCATTTTTCCTCTGCTTATCTTTCAGCTAATTCTCAGCCCACCATGCAAGCAACCCTGTAGATGTTGGGGAGGAATAGCAATTAATGAGTGCTTTGTACAGGGAGTAAGGGAAGGGGATGCCTGATTGATAGGCCATGTTGTTTCACATCCCAACCAAGACGAACTCTCTCTGGCCTTATCCAGTGAGTGGTTGGTTGAATTCACTGCTTTTGTATGCCAAAGAAGATCCCTTTAGAAAAGGATGTGGAGATGCTTGGAGATGTTTGGATCTAGTATGGACTTAATTTTATTCTGAAAGGTTTATTTCTACTTGTAGGATGCAGTTGAATATGGAAGCCCTGAAAAAAAATTACACAGCAGTCATATCTTTATACAGCCTTTGATATTAGTGTTCTTGATGCTTTTACATATTTCCATTGGTTTGCCTTTCTTTAAAATAAATAATAATAATAAAAAAAAAAAAAAACCACAAACCTGCTTTTTAACAAGGAACTTAGGAAAAATATTTATTCAGTCATTCAGTAGCAATCGTGGAAAGACCATAATTTCATAGCAAAGGCTTTTGACAATGTCAGTGATAGCTGAGATGTCTGCACCTTTGCACTTTTCAAGGAACAGAAGATTTATTACATGTTTTCAGTGTACTGAACTGTGCCCATCCATCCTTATTAAAGTTCTTCAGCAAACTCTTTCATTACCTCACTATGGATATTAGTAAAGTTTGACTATTTCAGTTAAATTGTCAATTAAAGCTCAAATGGAAATTCAGTTGCTTTAAGTTTGACTTTAAGCTGCCTTTAAAGATGGTTTGACTTGCATCATTTTTTCCTCAAATTGCACAGAAAAATAAACATTTGAATAATGTTGATTGTGATCTGTTTTTAATAATGCATTTACATTTACATACTGTCACTAGGAAAAACATTTTCTATGTCTATGACAGCTTAATTTTTTATTGCATGTCATTAGCTCCTGTTTTATAAGCCAGCCATGATCAACAAACTTCGGTATTTACTGAGTAAAGAACAGGCCCAGAATCCTTAATTTCTGACTAATTGCCTTCGGACTAGATACCAGCAGTCTTCCCACTGACTGTCAGTGGGCTTTGGACCAAGCCATTCATGGAATATTAAGCTTTACATGGTCTGATATATTTCACTCCTGTGCATCAACAGAGACTGTAACGACTTATTCGCTTTTTGTACCCCAGCCTGAGCAGTTCTGCAGTTTCATTGCCTAAGACACCTAAGATAGCATCTTCATTTAACAACTGAAACATGATTTGCAATTCATTAATGCAGTGGTTTTCAAGCCTCCATTTCAGTAGTCTCTAGACCCATCCTTAGCCCTTGCAGATCTTCTGAGCATGAACGCCTGGAGCTGGACTGACTTACATACCGAAGGATCTGTCCATTTATCTCTTCAACCAAATTTGTAATGCTAATTAGGCATGGTCACAGTGACATTTTATTTGACATTATGATAGCTTCATTAGCACAGTTAAAAACATATATGTGAATATTCTTTCTCTAACTGTGGAGAAGTAAATAACAAACAGAAAATATTCTCCTCTGACTCTCAGGGGCAATGGCAGTACTCAAATACATATGTATGACGAGAAACACAAAAGAAAAAGACTATATAATTACATCAGAGAAAGCACCACTGAAAGAAAAAAAAAAGCCTTTTGGCTTACAGTGCAACTGTGGGGACTCACAGCTTTACAGACATACAAACAGAGCTGAATGGCAGCTGTGAGCAAGCTGAACACGCAGCTTCAAAAACTGGGAAGCTCTTTCTTCCACGGTTGAAATTACAAAATG